AGTGCGCCCCCCCCCCCCCCAGCAGACCAGGCTTTTCTCCGGACGCCTGTGGTAGAGCAGCTGGGGCACTGCCGGTTGGTCCTGCAGTGCTGCTCTGGGCACTACTAGACCAACCCGCCCGAGGCAGAGTTGCTCTGCCCCGGGCTTCCTGGAATCAGCCGCTGATCAGTTTCAGCAGCAGCTGACTTGGGGACGCTTGGGGTTCTTAAGTTGAATCTGTATGTAAGTCAGAACTGGCGGTCAGTTTCAGCAGCGGCTGAATCTGGACGCCAGTTCTGACTTACATACAGATTCAACTTAAGAACAAACCTACAGTCCCTATCTTGTACGTAACCCGGGGACTGCCTGTATATATGTGGTGTAATTATAATTAAACAAAGGCATATAGTTATCTAAAATTTGAAAGTAAAACTTAAAGCAGCAAAGATGATTAAGGAATTACATTCCCTATTTCATCCTCAATTAATCCTACCAAAAGATTCAGCTTCTGACTAATTTTTTAACTAAGCTATAAACCACTAAAAAAATTAGGTGTAAAATGAAAATGACAACTGATTCTTAACTAACAAATTACAACACTTACTGGCTTACACACCATGAAGTCTGACATATAAAGAGAACTATTTCTGTTAAAGAAATAAATTATCTAAATTAAAAAATTCCACCCAGGAATGAAAATCAGTGTGACAGAGACACCTTGAGGTTCATGTGTATGTGTTCCTATAATCAGACAGTCAATGACTGGATTCAAGTGTTTTGATGCAAGAAGGCAAAAATTAATGTTTCCTTTCTCAGAACAAAGTGGTTATAGGGACCCTTGAATGGCTTAATAACAGATGATGAAATGACAGAGCTTTCTACCATTCAGTAACTGGTCTGCATTTAGTGCATTTGCCAAAGCCCCATAACTGCTACCATTTATGAGTTTGCTGAGCCATATAAAACGAGCTGTCAGTCTCTCTTCTCTTCCTAATGTAGAGATGTCCACATAATAAAAAATAGCCCAATGACTGCTCCCTGAGGCCAGCAGGGCCATGCAGCCCACTTCTGCTCCCTGGGACATAGCAGCCCAGAGCCCAGCTGTTGGATGCTCCCTGGTTGCTCCCGGCTGCGTCTAGACTGGCAAGTTTTTCCGCAAAAGCAGTTGCTTTTGCGGAAAAACTTGCCAGCTGTCTACACTGGCCCTTATGTGCAAAAGCTTTTGCACATAAGGGCCAGTGTAGACAGCTCAGATTTGTTTTGCGCAAAAAAGCCCTGATCGCCATTTTCGCGATCGGGGCTTTTTTGCGCAAAAGTGCATCTAGATTGGCATGGATGCTTTTCCACAAAAGCACTTTTTGCAGAAAAGCGTATGTGCCAATCTAGATGCTCTTTTCCGCAAATGCTTTTAACGGAAAAGTTTTCCGTTAAAAGCATTTGCGGAAAAGAGCATCTAGATTGGCACATACCCCTCCCTATTTGGGAGTATAACTGTCCCACATGCTTGCTCTCCCTCCCTCAGGTACTTTTGTTAACAGAAAATTTACAATCCAATAAATTGTAAGAGTAGTTTCTTTCCCACCAATGCTGATTACTCTACATTTACCAACATCATGTTGTCTGTTTACCTAGCTTGGTTAAGTACTTCTGAAACTAGTGTCTTTCTGGCTTTAACTAACCTAAATAATTTTGTCTCATCAGCAAATATTTCCATCTCATTGTTCACCTATTTTTTCTGATTCTTATTGAATTAAATGCAATGCAAGAAGTGCTAGAGTTGATAGAACCAAAAATCACTTCCATGGGTCTATGTTGCAAATGCTGGTAAACAGAAAAATAAATCTTTGATATCTGTGAAGTTACAATAATTCCGATGTGAGTGTATATAATTTCTCTTAAGTCAACCTAGGCAATATGTATATTTTCCGAGGTTGAATTTAACAATTCCTGTAATTTTCAGTGAAAAGCAAAAATATGCCAGCTGCTTCCGCTCTGAGTTTCTTCCTTAGTACAAATCTAACTGTTGTCTTGTGCTGAAAATACATTACATAAATTTGTTGTTTGTTTTTATACACAGAATATTATGGATGCACTTTCCAAATCAATTATGGAAAATAAGTCATCATTTTCTAGATGACCGCTATTTCTTAGGAAATGGAAACTGCTAGCAGAGTTAAACATTAGTTAAGAACTGAAAGTAAAACAGCTATGCAACATAAATCTGTTAGATGGAAACTGATGACTTCCCAGTTTTGAAAACTGTTACGTTTTTCTTCACTAAAAATAGAAAAATATATCACAGTTATGTTATTTAGTCTGGTGGCTCTGATTCTAAGGACTTGTAAGAAAATCATTCAAAATCTTTTTTTAAAATGTCCTTGTTATGAGATCTAGGCGCCTCAGCTACTGTAACAGCGTACAAACCTCAGATGCTGGGGCAACTCACTAATTGTTACTGCTATGAGGCCTGACACAACTCCCATTGACAGCCAGCGTGAGGCCAGTGGGCTTGGACGCTCGGTGTATTGAAGGCGCAGCTGACTAGCACAAGGCTCCTGCAGTTCAGGCGCACGGAGCCGCACTGCAGAGTTCGGGGCGCTCGGTAAAGCCCAAGCGCCTGCAGACATGTCGTTACGGGAGAGGTGTCGCCCACACCCAGCAGCAACCACGTTTAAAGCTGACGGCAGCTCCGGGCACCGCTGCGGGCACAGCGCCGACACTGCCTGGCGCAGCGGGTGTTGCGCAGGACGCGCACACAGCACCCGCGGCAAGGAACACGGGACACTTATTAGCCAATCCGATTGCTCGTTATTAAGCTGACCCCGCCCCCCCCATTCACGGTTCAGGGCATCGACCTGCCCGGATCCAGCGTTCAGGGGACGCGGCTCTATCGGGCACGAATTCCCGATGCACGAGGAAGTAGCCTCGCCGCCCGCAGTAGCGCGCGGGGAAAGGTTCGGCAGCGCTTGTCCCGTAACGTACCCCCAACCCTGCCGCTCCTTAACCAAAGCGCAGGAGGAGGGGGCGGCGCTGGACTGTGACCTTCCGATTGGCCTTTCATGAGCGAGGCGGTGGGCGTGGTTTCGCGGCTGCTGTGGGTGGAGGGGGAACTGCTGTGGAGATGGGGAGTCGGACGGAGGTGAGTGTGGGCGGAGGTGCGCATGCGCGGGTTCTATTGTGACCCATCAGAGGCCAAGGAGAACAATTTTTCCTCCCTTCTCCTTGTAACACTGTTTTAGATACTTAAAAGCTGCTATCATGTCCCCACTCAGACTTCTCTTTTCTAAACTAAACAAGCCCAGTTCTTTCAGTCTTCTCCCATAGGTGATGTTTTCTAGACTATTAATCTAAGGATGTAATAATACAGTCAATTAACAGATAAGCAAATGCCTATTGATTAATGCTATAGACTACATGCATTCCCTCTCCCCCGCCACCCGAAGTAAATTTTTTAGCCAGCTGGCCAGCATCCTCACTCAATCCCAGCTTGTGCCAGGTCCAGGACCTACCCCTGCTGCAGCTCTTCATTTAAAGTGTATTAGAAGCTGGGTGGGCAGGCAGTCCAGCTCAGTTCTGCTTCGTACTGGATCTGGGAGCTCAGACCAACCCCTGCAGATAACTGCTGGTTCCTCTGTATCAGAGGCAGCAGCATGGTGTGGCTGGGGGCTCCCCAAAAGTGAGATCAGGAAAACGCTGGCTGCCAGCTCCACCTCTGGATAGAATAGTTGTGTATCTGCTAAAATTTGATGCCTGACTATTTAATTGCACACTATCTAACATCCCTGTTTTTAACTTTGAAGCAAATGTTACAGTTCTTTCAAAAGCTTACAAATGACCATTGACTTAAAACAGCTTTGAAACTTTACTAAGGAGGAAAGTGCTGCTTTTAAGAACATAAGAACAGCCATACTGGGTCAGACCAAAGGTCCATCCAGAAGGGCCATACTGGGTCAGACCAAAGATCCATCAAGCCCAGTATCCTGTCTGCCAACAGTTGCCAATACCAGATGCCCCAGAGAGAGGGATTGCAATAGGTAATCCTCATGTGATCCCTCACCTGTCATTCACCTCCGGAGAAACAAAGGCTAGGGATACCATTCCTACCCATCCTGGCTCATAGCCATTGATGGACCTAACCTTCATGAATTTATCTAGATCTTTTTTGAACCCTGTTAAAGTTCTAGCCTTCACCGCATCCTCTAGTAAAGAATTCCACAGCTTGATTGTGCGCTGAGTGAAGAAAAACTTCCTTTTATTTGTTTTAAACCTGCTGCCTATTAATTTCATTTGGTGACTCTTAGTTCTTTTATTGTGGGAATAAGTAAATAACTTTTCCTTATTCACTTTTTCCATTCCAGTCATGATTTTAGAGCCCTCTATCATATCCCCCCTTGATCTCCTCTTTTCTAAGCTGAAAAGTCCAAGTCTTTTTAATCTCTCTTCAAATGGCACCAGCTCCAAACTCCTGATAAGTTCAGAAAAGGGCAACAAAATTTTTTCCAATACCAAAATGAAATAGTTTCCTTACTTTGTTAAATATTTTTAAATTTTCATTTTTAATAGTTTACATGCACAATATTTTACTGTATTTGCTTGTCATGTTTTGATCTCTACTGCTGCCTGATGGTGTACTCCTTTTACTGTATATTTTACTGTATTTACTCTACTGCTGCCTGATGGTGTACTCCTGGTTCCAAATGAAGTGTATGATTGGCCATTTAATTTGTAACTCCGGTGTTCATAATTCTGAGATCTTGTTATATTTTAGATATCAGGAATTATCTTGTCTTCTGTGTTCTATACCTCTGTTTTATCTGCAGAAAGTCTGATCAAGAATTGAGCTTACATTTCTGACCGAATGATTCGGCTGCTATGGAGGAAACAGTAGAATGCAAATAAAAATACCTTTTTAACTGCAAAAATATTAATTTTACTTAATTATTACTATTAACGAACAAAACACATTGATTGCTGACTTGTATCTTATGAACAGGTTTTAAAGCTTTTCAGAACATTGCATAGAACACGGCAACAGGTTTTTAAAAATGACGCAAGAGCCTTAGAAGGTAAGAATTTTTGTCTTCCTAGTGGGACTGTTGCATCTCTACAAAATCTCTAAGGACCCTCCTTCCTTGGGTATGCCATTGTATGAAGGTCTTTTACACGAACTATCATCATTCTCTCTGAGGGCATGTCTAAACTACATCACTCTCTCTTTTAAAAGAGGGATGTAAATTAGGCAGATCGAAAATGCAAATGAAGTGAGGATTTAAATATCCTCTGCTTCATTTGCATAATTGTCACAGTGTTCCTTTGAAAAAGGGTATTTCGAAAGTGAAACCACTGTGTAGATGCGGTTCTTTTAGGAAAAAAAAAAAACCTTTTTCGATTATTTTATGGGGAAAAAAAACCTTTTTCGATTATTTTATGTGAGTATGCAAATGAAGCACGGGATATTTAAATCCCCGCTTCATTTGCTTCATTTGCACTTTCAATCTGCCTAATTTACATCTCTCTTTCGAAAGAGGGATATAGTTTAGACATAAGAACATAAGAACGGCCGTACTGGGTCAGACCAAAGGTCCATCTAGCCCAGTATCCTGTCTACCAACAGTGGCCAGCACCAGGTGCCCCAGAGAGGGTGGACCGAATACAATGATCAAGCGATTTGTCTTCTGCCATCCCTCTCCAGCCTCTGAGAGACAGAGGCCAAGGACACCATTTTATCCCCTGGCTAATAGCCTTTTATGGACCTAACCTCCATGAAATTATCTAGCTTCTCTTTAAACTCTATTATAGTCCTAGCCTTCACAGCCTCCTCTGGCAAGGAGTTCCACAGGTTGACTACACGCTGTGTGAAAAAAAACTTTCTTTTATTAGTTTTAAACCTGCTACCCATTAACTTCATTGGGTGTCCTCTACTTCTTCTATTATGGGAACTAATAAATAACTTTTCTTTATCGGCCCTCTCCACACCACTCATGATTTCTTGAAGATTATTTCCCTTTTTTCTGGCATTCCCTGAACCCATGTCACCCTCTCTTTGGGCAATTTAATACCCAGTCACTAAGAAGATTGTAGTTCCTGTCTGCCTGTCATCCTGTTCACATCCTCCTCCCCCAACCCGCGCACTTTCTTCGCCTATCCTAAATCACCCCATCTCTTTTTTCTACTTGACTGCCTGCTTCTCCACTGCATCACATACAAACTTCTTGTCCTCATGGTCAAGGCGCTGCCTGAAGGGAATTGAATTAGATTGACTCCTTTTTGGAACCTGCTGTTGTTTAATCAGCATAAGGGGTTCAGCCACACAGGGTAGAACACTCACAAAAGAAGAAAGATTGGAGTTTGCAGGTAGTCTCTGCAGATCCAGAGAGCAAACAGATGGAACAGGTTGTCAACCTGAGTCACAAGTGTGATAAACAAATTACTACTACTGTTTTGTTCAGTTTACCTAAAGCAAAACAACAGAAAACAAAAACAAAAAAGCCCTGATCCATTGAAATGCTTCAGTTTGTCTGTTTTTCTGAGTTACCAGAGAAGAGGATGCAACATGATCACATGAATAGAGCTGTTCAGAGAAAGGCAATTGTCTTTCACTGTGGATTTTAATATTTTTGAAATTTGGCTTTGTTCCAGTCGGGAATAAAACCCTAAATATGTCCAAATTCTTCACAAGAGGGAGTGGATACTCTGTCCAAGGCAGGCTGTCGCAGAGCAGCAGTCTGGAAGTCCTGAGGTCTCCAACTCCGTAGCATCCTACTAGGCAGGCAGCCCTACAGCCTGAAGCCTTAAAGTCCCCAGTTCCCAGGCACTCCTCTCAAAGTCTTTTTTGCACACTCTCAGATCCAGTACATAAAAGGAATGGTCCTGGTCTTGACCGTACATGGTTACAGGTATTTGATCAAGTTTCTAATATAGCATATTTTGTCTGCAGAGAGAATTGATCTTCAAAGGTGTTGTTGAAGTGTCTTGGGGAAAAATTAAAGTTCATTTTTCTGATTCTATTTTTCAGAGGGATTTGAAGGAAAATGAAGTGACTTTAGAAAGACTTAAGCACTGACTTAGGGTATGTCTAGAGTATACGCTTCTTTCAAAAGAAGCTTTTTTTGAAACAGCTTTTTTCGAAAGAGATCGTCTAGACAGCCATACCTTTTTTGGAAAAGTGGATTGTTTTTTCAAAAAAGAGCACCCAGGCAATCTGGTAGCTCTCTTTCAAAAAAGCCCTGTTTGCGGTCAAGAACGCCGTCTTATTCGAAAGAGCTCTTTCAAAAAAAGGCGTTCTTCCTTGTAAAATGAGATTTACCGCTGTCGAAAAAACCGCTGTGTTCTTTCACTTTAATTTTGAAAGAATGTGGCGGCAGTCTAGATGCAGGTGAAGTTTTTTGTTTTGGTTTTTTTTTTTCAAAAAAGGCCACTTTTTTTCGAAAAAAAACCCCTGTCGTCTAGACATAGCCTTAGTCTTCTCTCTCTTTCCACCTTTCTCTATTAAAAACAATGGTTGGGATGGAAGGAGCAAGGGAGCAGAAGGGAATGACCAAGAGGAGGAGCCAGTGGTATAATTTTTACAGGGCTTTGAATTTGTGTTTTAGAAGCTTGACCTTTCTGGGCTAGTCTACACAGCTTTTTTTGTACTGCTATAACTATAGACGTTAAGAAAATGGTATGATTCCCAGTCACGGACACAGATGGATATTAATGGGCATGTATCTGTAGTTTAAGCTTCCTTTGTCTTGTGCTGTATTTTGAAAAGCTTAAGCCCTACCAGTGTCACTGAGTAGACAGTTCTGCCAATCACATTGTCATGGACACAGATGGATATTAATGTGCATGTATCTGTAATTTAAGCTTCCTTTGTCTTGTGCTGTATTTTGAAAAGCTTAAGCCCTACCAGTGTCACTGAGTAGACAGTTCTGCCAATCACATTTAGGGGTCATACTTTAACTTGACCAGTGGGAAGATTTTTTTGTAAACCAAAATAGTTATATTAGCTCACTAACTGTGTAGATCAGCCCTACATGAAAGACAAGGAAGAGAGGTTGAAGGAGGTTGTAAGAAATTTGGGTATATTTACACTACAGCGGCGAGGAGTCCTGTGGCACCTTATAGACTTAACTGAAGTGTTGGAGCATGAAGAGAATGAGGCCCACTTCTAGTAGCTGAATACCAAGAGAGGAGAAGCTCCTTTTGTAGTTAGCTAGCCATTCACAGTCTTTGTTTAATCCTGAGTTTGTGTCAAACTTGAAGATGAACTGTAGCTCAGCAGTTTCTCTTTGAAGTCTGGTCTTGAAGTTTTTTTGCTGCAGGATGGCTACCTTTAGATCTGCAATTGTGTGTCCAGGGAGATTGAAGTGTTCCCCTATAGGTTTTTGTATATTGCCATTCCTAATATATGATTTGTGTCCATTTATTCTTTTACGTAAGGTGCCACAGGACTTTTCCCTGCTCTTGCAGTTTCAGACTAACACGGCTAGTAACATACCCAGTTTATGCACTGGATATATTTTTCCTTTGGCCTTTCTTGTCATAAGAACTGACACACAGTTTTATGTCAGATGAATGGCAATTTAGGTTAAGGTAGATTTTTATTTCTTTTTATTTCCAGGGAAAACCTCAAGCACTAAGAATATGTGATTATATACTTTTTGTTTTAATAGATGACTTGTTGATGTATTTGATTTTTAGAAACTCCAATACACATGCATTGAATTGCATCTTCACTTTGGAGATAAAATTTATTGTTAATCTGTTTAAACAATTTTTGGGGTGTAGGCTGAATTACAACACTAGTTTCAGATCCGGCAAGGCATCAGGTCAGGAGTTA